CAAATGTTGCTTTTTAAAAAAAAAATCTTTCTCTATTGTAACTCATTGAGTCAACATATGAGAAAAATAAATATCACAACTTCATTTACCACTCCAAAAATAATTATATTCATAGTCAACTCTGTCTATATTTTCTCTATTCTTAGGTAAGGTCATAACACCAAATGGCCACCTTTACTTCTAGAATAATTGATCAAATAAGTAATATCCATTGAAACCCTAAAACATGAAAGGAACATAGATACAAATAAGGTAAACATACTTTAGAATTTGTGTTATAATTTGTAATAGTGTTAGGTTAACACTAGCTCCCATAACAGTTCACACCAAAATATCAAGAGATTAATATAATTTTATTTCTTTTTTCACTAAATTCTAATAGTTGGTGGGAAAATGTTTGTGCTCTGCTTGATATATCATCCTTTATAGATTCATTGACTCATCAGATGAAGACTGTGCTTTTTCTTTAAGCCTGTTTTTCAATATCTGCCTGAGAGTCAACCTCAATTCAGCAGGAGGAAAAACTACAAAGACAGTATAGAGTATGAGATGTGTCAAGTTGTGTTATAATGGACCTGAAAAAGGCTTACATCACTTATCTCCATATGTCAGTTGCCAAGGCTTACTCTTTGGGTCATAACTAATTGCAAGGGATACTAGTATAACTGAATTCTGGGGAGTAGGGGAAGCTCAGGGACCAATGTTCTTTTCCAGACCCTTGGTACCTCACTCACCCAAGAATGGGCGAGGGGACCATGCCGGTCACAGTGAGTGATTAAGTAAATATCAGACCCAAAAGAGTTTGCAGAAAGTGATTTATTTAGGCAGAGAAAGAGAAAAAAGAGAAAGAGGAAGAGCTTCCATGAGGTCGTGGAAGGGGATCCAGATATGGAGTCCAAAGAGGTGTGGAAGAAGGGGACGTTTAACCAGGGAGAAATTCCTGTCCCCTTTAAGTTTTCTGGGCCTATGAAGAAAGTTCCTTTAAACTTCACTGGAGTGATTGATTTTTGATCTTTCCTGTGTATGCCAAAGTTTAAATAAAGACCTTTAGTGCCCGGATGGAGACCTGGGGGAGATAATGGCACTGGGAAGTTCTTGCCTTTGAAACTACCCACACCTTTTGGCCCCAGGAAAAGAATACATTCCCTCACTAGGACCAAAAGGAAACTTGTTTCTGGACCTGCTAATTTATCTGTTCCTAAAAAAAGTCATAATTGAATACACAGTCAACATATAGTTTTTTTATATGGTTATGTGTATAATATATATTTAAACATTTTATATCCATATATTTGTTACAAAATAAGGAGCTTTGTCAGTGCCTATTGATCATCACAGTGAATATGCAGTATTAAATCATAGCTGGTATTACAGGCACACACCATCATGCATAGCTAAGTTCTGTACTTTTAGTAGAGATGGGGTTTCACCATGTTGGCCAAGATGGTCTTGATCTCCTGACCTCCTGATCTGCCCCCATCGGCCTCCTAAAGTGCTGGAATTACAGGCATGAGCCACTGCGCCCGGCCTGCAGTATTGAATCATAAACCAGTATTTTGTTTAAACAAATGCATAACCTAGATTGTGACATATGTATATAAAATGTTGGGAACCCAGTTAATATCATTTATAATCTGTGTTATATAAATGCAGTACTTCCCATGATTAATAATTGTTTCTGGTGTGATAAGGGTAAATAAAAACATTAGACGTAAAATAGTAATTTTGCCAGGCCTTAATCCAACTCTAAACACATTTAAAAAGATTCTTATGTTTGAGATATTTATTTAATAAACAAAAGGAATACTTATATGTTAATTAAGGACAAAAGTTTAATATTAAAATATGTAACTTTATTTCATCTACATTATCTGATATATTTAAATATTTTACTCATCCACTTAAAATTTATTATGCAAAGGTCGTTACAATTTATTCAGATAAAATATTTCTGAGTTCAAAAAGAATGTGTTTGAACATAGAAAATAAAATTTATGTTTGCTATGTACCAATATTCTCCATTAAATTTTGTATTAAACAATTGACTTGCGATCTTACATTAGTTAACATTGTAATTCCTACAATTTAAGATTTAAGAAAGTATGAAGAATTTAATAAGGAGACAAAATATGATTCATGGCTTATAAAGAGTTAAGAAATTTGATAGAAATTGCTTAAAATAGAGAAAATATTACCTTATTCTATTAAACGTTCTAGGTTCTTTGAGGAGTTTAGATGATATTTCATACATGCTCAACTTTTATAAAATGTATATTACCTGTCATTCGGATAATCTACAAATCATGTGCAGATGAATACAAGAAATTTCTTTGCTAAATATGATTCATTTTGAGGTTGTATATACAATTAATTCATAAAACTTTAAATTTAAAATTAGAGACTAAACTAGATGTGTTTGAAGTCCTACAGTCCATTCATTTAAAACACACTTCCATCAAAACTGGAAACCCAGAACTTCGTATCTAAATGAAAATCATAGCTTAGGGAAGAGATAAACACACACACACACATGCGCACACACACACACACACACAGAGTGGGTGGGGGGGGAGAGAATATAATACTATTGGAGAAAATAGGCATCTCACCCCCACTGTCATCATAAAGATCTTCATAAAACCTGATGACAATAATCATTTTTTTGCATTTCTTTCTTTTTCTCTCTCTCTCTTTTTTTTTTTTTTTTTTTTTTGGAGACGGAGTTTTGCTCTTGTTACCCAGGCTGGAGTGCAATGGGGCGATCTCAGCTCACTGCAACCTCTGCCTCCTGGGTTCAGGCAATTCTCCTGCCTCAGCCTCCTGAGTAGCTGGGATTATAGGCACGCACCACCATGACCAGCTAATTTTTTGTATTTTTAGTAGAGATGGGGTTTCACCATGTTGACCAGATTGGTCTAGATCTCTTGACCTTGTGATCCACCCGTCTCGGCCTCCCAAAGTGCTGGGATTACAGGCTTGAGCCACGGCGCCTGGTCATTTTTTTTGCATTTCTTAACTTTCAAATATATCAGATAGTTGATATGGATTTCTAGTTTTGCATGCTAAAAAATTATCTATTATTTTAAAATATAATACTTTTGGCATTCTTGAGAACAGAAGCTATTGTAAGTAGATGTTAGTCTCAATACAGTCACCCTATATAGTTATTCAGACTACAAACATTCATTTTATTATACAAGCAGGAATCTCCTCAGATGAAGAAGTGAATGAATTACAAAACTGTGTAAAAATAAGAGTCTGTGGTTTTATTACTACAAAGAAAAATATGTCAAGAACCAATGAATTGTGGGAATGTTCATAATATCACTTACAAAATTATATTGTATTATCTTCCTTACCCATTATATTCATTCTCTTTTCCAACTCCCCCATCACCTTTTCACATCCTTGATGAAATCATAATTTGTAGTTGGCAAAATGTTTTTTTAAGTATCCATTTATTATGTAGAGAATAAACCAGTGATAAAACTTTAATGATATTTTCAATGTTGTTGCTGGAAAGGGTGGTTATATCTGAAATTATAGGAATTCAGTTTTGTTTTAAGTTTTCTTGAAGCTGATAAGAATTTATTAGTTATTTTAAGTTCTAAATATTATTTGTAATACAATAACACTGCTTAGAATTTATTAAGTAATATTTCAGACATCACAAATTTTTCATAAAGATAAAATGTTAAACGGAAAATGATGAATATTTACCCCAAAGCCAGTTCAGGATTCAGGGATATCAGTTAACAACAAAAATGTAGTTTTTATGAAAATTGAAATATTTCCCTGAGATTGGAACATCTTATCTCAATAATTAGCTTAATATGCTCAAAAAATAAGACTATTCTGATATACATAAAATAGTTGCTGGTTATGAGTGTTAATAAATAGCATTTTAAATAATTATAGATTTCACAGCTTTTCTAAGAGGTGAGTTTCCCTTATTCTTGAGTTATTAGTTTACCAAGTTTTTTCCATTAATAATATCTTAGTTTCTTATTATTCATAAATTTTATATAATTTCTTATGATGAATAAAAATCATTTTATGTAATAATACTGTAGACTAGAGATAGCATAAAGTATTGTTTCCTTGTTTTTTGAAATCAATAAGAGATTATAATTAAATTTTATATCAAGTAAACAAGAATGCATTTCATGAATTCCTAAAAACATCAAACATTTATGAAGAACACTTAGTAACTTATTAAGAACCCAATTGAGTATAAGGATGACACCATAAAAATAAATGAATTAATTAAAACATATTTTCCCCATAATATTTGCCTTAATTTGTATCATATTAGTGACTGACTTCAATTTATAGGGGAACAATTATTATACATATCCTTTATGAATTTCTGATGATTTGAAATTTATTTGTGTTAGCTTCCAGATATAAGAAGACTGTAAAATGTACACTTAAATAAGAAACAATGAACTCACTAATATTTCTCTCATATGGAAAATATTTGTGATATTCCTCCTGTTGTTTTTATCTTAGAAATCAGCTTATTTTTCTCTTTTGCAATTTCTCTAACAATGAGACTGAATCATGGAGCTTAGTTAATTACCTCATATATGTAGGCTCTCCCTTTCTAGACCTTGTTTGTACTTCCTAGTAACAAGGGATGTGAAACATTATAAGCCAAATAAAATGAGAAGAAAGCCAATATGAGGAGACTTGAGAGTATTTCCTGGTGAAATCCTGGGAACCTACATCAACACAGTTTAACTGTGGCATTATAAAAAGGCAAGCAGGGCACATTTAGGCAGAGATTAATTAAGAGATTCTGGCTCCTCATCTTTTCTCAAGTCTTGTGTGAAACATAAGGAATCCAGTTCCTTGGAAGAAAGGTAAGAAATAGCTGGGATATGAGAGAGAGAGAGTTGATCTTCATATGATAGTGAAGTTAGAAATGAGAAGACCTGGAGTCAGAATGTGTGCAGGGTAAAACTTAACTAGGAACTATATATTAGTAGAAGACTTACCTAGGAAAATGATATTTGCAGAACCAGGGAGAAGCAGAGGGGACAGACTGGAAGATTAGTGTGCCCTGACTACATCCAGATAAAAGGCCACACATTACAATAGCTGTAAACAGTTTTACTGGAGCAGCAATGATAGAAAGCATTGTCTAGAGGCCAGGAATGTGGAGTGACCTCACAAAAGAGTAAACAGGAAACAAAGGATGGTACAAATGACTAGTGAGGATATATATGTTTTCCTTTGTCCCTAGATTCTAGCTTTGCATAACTTGGATTTTTGAATGCCTCTGGATTTTAAGATTAATACCTTTTTTAACAAAAATGAAAAAAATTTAACCATTATCTTTTTGAACATTTCTCCTTTCCCTTTCTTTCTACATCCCTGTTTAAAGCTAATTTGAGATGTGTTGAAATATATCACAGGATCCTTCTTATAGACTTCTTCCATATTTACTGTTTTTCTGAACTGTATTCTATATAATTTATTTTATCTATCATAAAATGTATTATTTTTTCCCTTAACTGTGTCTAATCTGCTAGCTAATCTATCACTGATTTTTAAACTTTGACAGCACCATTATGTTTTTTAAACATTTCATTGAAAAAAAATCTTCTTGTTCTATGCTCAGAACTTTATATACTAATATTTCAGCTATACTAAACATGTTTATTTTGTATTTATGTCTGATGATTGCAATATCTAAAGTCTATTGAATCTTTTTCTACTGTTTCAGGGAAATAGTTATCTTAGAATGTTCAGGTATAAGATTCACTCTGGATTTGCTCAGTACATTGTAAATACAGTAGTAAGTGAAACATGAATCATATTGTTCATTTGTTTTTTCCTGTTCCTCTCTTCCCTGCTATCAAAACCTATTTATTTTTCCTTAGTCCTTGCTCATTTTACCCCTTGCATTAGTTTGTCTATTTTTCTTCTCTTTTCTTAACACTTGTTCCTTCCATTCTCACAATTTACCTGCCTCTTCTTCTGAACCATTACCTTCTTTCATATATCTGTAATTGAAAAACAAATTACAAAATGTTCCAAGGGAATCGAGTAAATAACCTGCAGCCTTGTAATTGTTAAAAGGGTACATGTCTCAGAGGAACCAAATAAATAAATTTGGCATTTCTTTCTAATAGTCAGTGTGGTCTAACACTGACTTTTCCCCTATCGTAAAATAAACAGCTTAGCATTCTGGCTCCTCCACATACACACAAATTAACCAGTATTTATGAAAATAAAAGTTTTCCAGGCCTTAAGCTTTTCTATGTTCCTGCAACAGTTCAGTTAGGAGTAACAGAAGTCATGTTCTTTATGTATTTACATATCAATGTCATTTTCTCAACATTTATCTAATATTGTTAGAAGAAAATAAAAAAATACTACGTGACAATGATTTAAACTTTCTGGATGTATTAAGGACATACACTATCCTTACATCACTCTTCTTTTACATAATGCTGCAGATGAAAAATACTGTTCAAAATTTCAATGATAGTTTTTCTCCTAATGAACTGGTATTCATCATCTCTACAAAAAATGAAAACTAGGAAACTGCTTAAGTTATCCTTTTGTGCTCTTTTTTTCCTGTGGAACTTAGAGACACATTTGAAGATCATGCATAAAAAAAGACATTGAGATGTATGTTGTGTGAGTGTGCCATTTTCTCCTTTGACTATGATTTTCTATTTTTGTTTTACTATCTCATTTTCTATAACTTTATGAGAAACCAGCAACCTTAAAACTTTTGCACAAAGAGAGCATACATATAAATACAAATCACCTTGTAAATGAGTATCTGCAAATAAGTTAGAAGTTTCTAAAACTTAAAACCATCCCACATGCATTTGATATTTTCATGACAAAAATTATTGCTCTTCATGACTTTTTTGACCAGAAATAAGCTGAACAACCTAAATATAAATTAAATTCTCTATTTACCCGTACCATGAAAATAAATATTAACATTTCAAGAATATTACCCTCTATTATTTTTGTCATAGCGTATTATTGGTCTCACATAAAATTATAGAATTATTTTTATTAGAATTAAAAATAAACATTAAAAATCATGAACATGAAACCATCTGAGACAAATTTATATGAAAGTCCTGTTTTTTTAATCCATCTAAATCCTGTAATTTTTATTTTGATCAAAATGTGATTAACATTACAGAAAATAATCTCACACATAAAAATGTTGTTAACTATATGAGGATGAGGTAGGGAGGTTTGATTTTATCTACTATTAATAATGAAAAATAGTTTTGATTTTATTTTATTTGAAGAAAGCACTATTGCTAGATTTGTGCATATCTGGTTTTCCACAGCCTGTCAAATTTAGTTCTAGCTGTAAAATATGTAATTTAAAATTAAGTATTTTATATAGTTGAAAAATATATATTTATTTTATGATATATAAGGGATAGTTTTTTTTCTACTAACATCCAATAAGCTGGCAATAGTGCTATAGAATAAGGGAAAGAAATGAAATTCTCTGAGAAGTGGATCAATTGATGGCTCAGTTGAGTCTAATTCATTCAAATTTGCTGATTCATTTGCTTTTTCCCTTTGGTTTCTTTATTCTTCACTTTATACTTTATAGGCTAACTTAAGAAACATTCAGTTTTGAAATCTATATAATTAAATTAAATTATAATGCTATGAGATATTTACATTATAATGATATCAATATATATGGATTATGTTTAAATCTCGAGGCATGTTTCATGTTCCTGTTTTTTGATGTTCAATTTTAATTAGATTATATTCCTGATGTAAAAAAAGAGTCAAATTACCCATGTAACAATATGATTTTCTGTTAACTATAATATTTTAAATCTGTTTATATTATTTTAAATATGTCATTCTATTATATTAACAAATCATATATTTATCAATTCATATTTATATGATTAAATAAAGAACAAATAGGTACTTCCTAACTGATGGGAACTTATGTTTTGCCAAAGATAAAGAACATTGCAGACAAAAATTTCTCAGAAACCTTGGCATGCAAAATATCAGTAGGTATTATGTTTCAACTCCTGAAGTACTTCTAATTTCTGCAAAGAAATGATTAACTCTTTCATGTAAATTATTTCCAATAAGTTCAACTTATGTTACTGGATTTTGTAGATAAATCACTATGAAAATACACTACAGAGTTTTGGGTTTCTTTTTTTTTCCTAAGATGGTGGATTAGAGACCATCAGCATGCCTCAGCCACTTAGAAATAGCTAAACTACATGAAGTTCAACTCTGTGAGCTTTAAATAAAAAAAAAAAGAGGAATTCACTGGAAGACTCAAGGTCACATCAGATGCTGGGGAGGAGAAGATGTGCAAGTAGCCCTCACGATGACATTTGGCTGATTATGTGGGTGAAGCCTCAATATGTGAGGGGGCAGCTAGTCTCCCTCTGTATATCACTTTTCAGTAGCGATCTTTGCAACCCAGGCCAAGGGAGAGCATCTGTTTCTCTAAGCCCAGGAGATAGCTCGAGGAAACACAAAGAGACACAGAGAAGAAAAGATACTGGAAAAGTCTGCAGGCATTTTCTCAGACCCAAAACTGAGAGGAGGTTGCAATTTTTAATCAGAGCTCAAAACAGCCATTGTTTGACAACCTGACAACCATAGCCACTGCAGACGTTGGCCTGGCCAGTATAAGACCAGAGATTGGAGTGCTTTCTCTGGAGTAGGGTAAGAGTCCCCATAGTCAGAACTGAGCAATGAATGTGGAGAGCAGAACTGAGCAATGAATGTGGAGAGCACCACAGCAGCAGATGTTGGAATTAAGCTCCCTCCCATTGCCAAACTTGAGCAGGAGTAAATTTGCTGAAACTTAGGTTTCTTCTGAGTGGAATGGCTTGTAACTAGTGACAGCTTAACAACCTCGATCCAGTCTGTATGTGTCATTGGTCTGTTTGGGGAGACTGTCACATTAGCTCTAAGAAGTGGGTAGAAGGTGAACTCTACTCTCTTAGGTGTCTAATCTTTGGTGTGGACTACCACTAAGAAGCGGGTAGCATAGCCTGACAGCGCCAAAGTTGGTCAAAGGAAACGTGAATGTGGCGCCAGTCATGGACAGAGAAAACAACAAAGCTGCAATAACGACTTGCAGTTGGGGGGGTCTCTTGCCCCCGGCCCCCCATCCCCAGTAACTGCTGAAGACAGCAGCAGCTCTCCCATGGGGGCCCAGGGAGCATGGGTTGAAAGGTGCTTCTCAGGCTTCTCCAGCGGTTCCATCCCTGATGAAGACCAATGTAGGTGGGGAAGAATATTTTTCCTCCTTCTCCAATTACTCCACCCCTGCAGAAGGCAAAAAGAGTTAAGAGCCTACCTGTCGGGTCTTACTCTGATGCGTCATCTACTGGAGGTCATACTGAATTACACCACAGCTACACCAAGCAACTATTGAGAAAGCCATCTGAAACCGAGGAACCTGTACAGAGCCCTGTACAGGGCGGGGTGGCTCAACTGACTAAGGATAAGAGAGACGTATCTCAAATAGTAAGAGCCATCTCTGAAAAACTCACATCCAACTAACTAAATGGGGAAAAGGTACAGCATTCCCACTATGAACTGAATTTAAAAAGGATTTCCACTCTCAGCACTCCTATTCAGCATAATACCAGAAATCCTTGAGCAAAATCAGGCAAGGGAAAGAAATAGACATACAGATAGAAAAAGAGGAAGTCAAATTATCTGTCTTTGCTGATGATGTGATTCTGTACCTAGAAAAACCTTAAAAGCTTGTCAAAAAACTCCTAGACCTGATAAATAACTTCAGCAAAGTTACAGGATACAAAATCAATGTACAAAAATCAATAGCAGCATTTCTATACATCAGTAACATTCAAAATGAGGGCCAAATCAAGAACATGATTGCATTACCATAACAAAAACAAACATACAAAAAACTCCTAGAAATATCTCTAACCAAGGTCAAGAAGATGAAAGTTCTCTACAAAGAACTGCAGAACACTGCTGAAGGAAATGAAAAAACATTTTATGCTCATGGATTGAACAAAATTAATATTGCTAAAATGTTCATACTGTCCAGAGCAATGAATTTATTCAGAAGTA